AGGCAACATCATGATGGATGGCAACGAGATTGAAACTATCAACAATTTCATCTCACTTAGATCCACAATTAACACCTTTGATACCAGCAGTCAGTAAATCTAGGAGTTGTATTGCACTGAGAAAGTCTGCAATTAGGGACCAGAAGAAGACTCTCAATGAGATGGATTTATGCCATCACCAGGGTAATGGGCACAGACATGTCGGAGACAGTAAGATTGCCAAGCAAAAGAGTGGGGTTTAGGGCTGTTGTACATAGGGTTGCTATGAGTCGCAGGTGATTTGACGGCGCATAATAACAACACAACAATCACCAAATTATTGAGGTGTAATGATGTCAGCCTGAGGACTAAAGTGCATCTGATTCAAGCCATGGTATTTCTGATCCCTTTCTATGCATCTAAGAGATGACAATGAATAGGGATGACAGAATTGATGCCTTTGAGCTGTGGTGTTGGGTAGTGTTGGAGAAGAGCACCGAACAGCTCATGGACAGCCAAAAGAACAAACATGTCTTAGAGAGGGTACAGCCGGAGTGCTTTTTGGAATTAAAGATGATGAAGCTTCACCTCACTTATTTCTGGAAAGTTGCCAGGAAGTAATATTCCTTACAGAGAGGGATGTGATGATTTGGAAGGGTGGAGGGTTGATGCAGAAGATCTTCGACCAGGTGGATCAATGTGGTGACAGCTTCAGTGGGCTCTTGTGTGTCAGAAAGTGTGAGGATGGCACACATGGTTTCAGATCTGTTGTTCTTAGGGTCACTATGAGTCGTACTCAACTCAATGGGACCTAAGAATAACAGCAGTGTAATTGCATACAAATAAAGCAACCTGTAGTTTTGATTTCATAAAAGCAGATCACAGTACAATATAAAGTCGTTACAGAAACTATTTATGTAAATTTATACATTTAAACACACAGAACAAAGAGGCAAACGGTAAGTACAAAGAAAAGTATTTGTCTTAATGCTGTCAGTGATTTTCTTTGGTAATAAAACTAGTAATTTCTATCTTTTTATGTTTTCCAAAATCAGTATATAAATCACTGTTAAAAAGTCGTTATGTTTTGTTAAACTTTATATGATTCATGATTAGTGCCATGTTTGGATATTAATTTTTAAATTAATTTTTTTAATTACATTAGAAAAAAGAATTGTGCTTAATCAAAAGATAATTTTTGTGCTATTTAGCATATTTCTGAAGCATCAATTCTAATTTCAGTAGGATTTTTTTTTCCAGGAAGCTATACTAATATTAATCAGAAAAGGAGATAATTAAGAGAATAAATTAGTTGCATTACTAAACAAGGATGAAAAGGAGATCTTCCCTGACACAAAACTTAAGTATTATCTACCTTCTGCAGGGGAGAAAGATGAACCATCTCCTCCCATGTGATTTACTCCCTCCAAAAACCTACTGAAAGGTTAACTATGAATTGGTTTCAACTAGATGGCAATGAAAGAGAGATTTACTAGGTAGTAGCTCCTAGTAACTAGGAGTTGTGCTACTAACCCTAAGGCAGGCAATTTAAATCCACCAGATCCTCCAAAGACAGATAAGCAGTCATCTCCTGTGAAAATTGACAGCCTCTGAAAACCCCCTGGAGAGTCAGCTATTAGTTGGTTCTATCTTGAAGGCATATAACAACAACCAGGTAGTATTGGTGCTATTTTAGCTATTAGGTAATATTTTTACCAGAGGAATATCTGTGTTTGGACTATACAAAGGCTTTTGAAT